AAAAAAAAAAAAAAAAAAAAAAAACTATTTTATTATTAATTACATTTTATAATTATTATTTTATTCTTTCAATTGTCAGTTTTTGTGAATATGCGTGTATATGTAAATGTGGTCAGACAAATAAATAAATAAAATAAACGTTGTAATTTAGGTCCAAAACAGGACATCCAATATATGTGACCTTGAATGCAGGATCAAAGCAAAACAATTTTCTTTCTCTTTTCCCCCATTAAAATTATTTGTGTTTTCGGTGACACAACATTGACATACATTTGCATATTTATAAAAAGCATTCAGATTTGGCAAATCAAATTTCAGTTTCATGTACTTGGTATTTCAATCAGAGGGTGTGATTGTCAGCTGATCTCATTACACATGATCTCATTACACATGCAGGGGCATAATCCACCAAGGTGACATGTGGAAGAATTTCAATTACATCTGGAGCAAGCAGATCATCACCTTCATCCACCTGGAGGGGCATGTTGCATTATGAATTACCATAAACATACATTAACAATGCGTATTCATTCATATGGGAAACAAGAGATCTGAATAATAGCAATAAAGTGATTTGACGCTTCGGTTTAGAGAACATTCAGCAATAATTTATTTCAGAATCTCAAGAACCACCACATGTCTCATCTGGAAAATTCAGTATCCGTTGCCAACAACACGGTTTTTGAAAAATGTTACTATACAAATTCTTAATAGAAAAAATAATAAATTAACGGTGGAATTTGGTTATATTTCACCCGCCCAACAATTCCACTTTATTTTTTCTACAACACCATTTTATTGTGTCCGGTTATGTCTGGAAATGAACTCATGAAACATGCTCTATTGTCAAGATGAAGTGAGAAGACAGTTTAGTAACTAACGTCCTTCATTTTGCACGACTGGTATTAAAACTATTGACAACAGTTAGGAAAAGTCTACAGCTAGGAAACCAAAGCAGTAACTGGTCTTCCTGTAGCACCGGAACGTGTTGTTGCTCTTTCCCAGCTTAAAGACTCGAAAATAAAACGAATACTGATTTATAAAAATCATTTAACGAATGCTTTTACGATTTCTTTTAAAAGAACCCAGTTTCCACAGTCCTGCCTATAAATGTTTGTTTTTTTATATAAAAAATTGTTTTTGTTATAGAGTACAGGTAGACGAGAGGAGTGAGCTCACATTGGCCTAAAAGGGTACGAGGTCTGAATGACCTCTAAATGAAGGGCTGTTTTTACACCGGGTTTTAGTCTTAACATCAAGATGCATAACACAGTGTGCTGAGCATGCACAAAAAAATCAAAAATCAATTTCATGGCAGATAAAAACATCTGGTTTACTTATAGGCCCTTCATGGAACATGAATCAGATGACTTTTAGATTTAATGTCTGGTGATTTGGACCCTTTTGAACACACATTTGTAATGACTGCTTAGGTTAACACACAAACTGTTGACTTTTTTGAAGATCTGTCAAGTTGTAACGGCAAAGGGTGTGCTTTCAGCTACCTGTTTCACGTAAAATGTTTCGTATCTCGCAGTGTGTAACAAATGCGGTCTTTAGCGTTATGGCTTGATGTTTCCTCGGTCAGACGATCGAGGCGAGCGGCACACGTGGTTTCGGATCTTGTTGACTGCATGATAAAAGCATGAAACACCCTGTATTATCTGAGCTTGTAGTTTCTTACCGGCTGCTTTTAAAATGAAACACCAGCTTTAATCGCGTCACATTCTGGAATGCTGTTTTCCTGAAAGCCTTTAACAGCTCAGGGAAGAGGTAAGTTATTTTCATTGAAATATTGTGTCGGTGTGCCACGTTGCGTTGTGCTCATCTGATTTTTTATGTTTTTTAAAAATAAGAACGTAATGTCATAGTGGTGATACAGTTAAGTAAAATCCTGAATATTAAGAACAGATGCGTAAAAACAAGAAACCCATAAGGCCAGGAGTGTTTGGAGAAGGTTTTTTGTGTGTCTCATTACTTCACTGATGTCACAACACTATACGCGGGGGTTTGTGACCATTCATGCAGTGTGGGCATACAGCAGGGCATTGTGGGATGTGCAGTTCAGGCTTAGAGCACCATGGTGGCAAGTTGCCGGTTGCAGCCTGAGTTGCAGTACTTCACAGATCGGTCGTTCAAAGCCAAGGGTCATGCTAAAGCCTCTAAGCTAAACGTTTTCAGATTTGTTGTACAGCTATGGCTTCTAAGTTAGCTAATGTTCTGCAAAAATGGACCAGAATCGATGAACTTGAGAATGACAAATCAACATTACGCACAAAGAGCACAACGCTTTGAATTTCCTTGGAATGACGTACTTGTGACGTAGTAATCTTGAGCGATATGATATCAGGGCTCATCTTTCAATCCAGAACAGCCGAAAAAAGGCTTCTGCCTTTTTTAAATGCTCTATTGTTATTCACAAAGTATCAAAGTTCACAAACAGTGGGAGGGGCTTATGATGCACTCCGGTCCAATGAGGAGTGGCATTGTAGGACGAAGGAGGGGCTTGTGGTCACATACTGTTTTTTTTTTTTACAGAACTGAGAACATAAAGATCTACAAAGATGGTTGACGCCAAAGCAATCCATCGGAATGTTTTTTTGTGCATGAGAGAGAACGACGCCGGCTCTCTGACATCAGTGCAGAGGGACACACACAACAGCAGGGGACGAATGTCTATTTTAGCATGTGTGTGTGCACGAGTGGGGTTCACTTATAGTACAACGCGCATTTGACATCGCTCTAATGCACACTGATCCAGCGATGGATTAAACACGGAGGGTTTGTGCATACGGAGGAACTGGCTGCCAACTAACTGGGTCGAAGTTGAAAAGTCAGAGTGGGAGGGTCAGACAAGGTCAAGCTCAGTCATTTAGACTCTTGTATTCCCATAGTTCATAAGCACTGTACCGCCGGATATACAGAATGACAGAGTGGAAGGAGAGGTCGAGGTGGTACTGGCTCCAGCCATAGGTGTTTTCGGATGAGTTGAGGTCCAGACTGTGGTCAGACCTGCCTTCTGAACACTCTTTTAAAGAGAGAGGGATGAGGGATGACGGTTTAGACGAGCGTTCCCGGCTTTGCCTTCTCGTGCCCATACCACTGTACGTCCACTATCTCAGAGCACAGGGGACTGCTCAGGAAACAACTATCGGAGAATGGCGATCTGCAGATGAGAAGTAGAGGAAAGTGTCAGACATTCTGACATTTCATAGGTATATTTAACAGGCTGTACATTAAATATTACAATTAATATTTTACATCTCCTTTTAAACATTTAATAGATTCATTAAAAAATTATTTGACATTTGAAGTGGATCAAAACCTTTCATCGAAGTTGTCCTAAAACCAAAATGTGTTCTTGTCTTAGGACAACTTTGATGAACTTTTTTGATCCACTTTAAATGTTGACTACTGTGTATATATATATATGTGTGACCTCGGCATCCTGGCCAAATCTGCCCATTGGCCTCTGACCATCATGGCCTCCTAACCATCCCCATATCTGCTGATTGGCTTCATCACTCTGTCTCCTCTCCACCAATAAAGCTGGTGTGTGGTGGGCTTTCTGGCGCAATATGGCTGCCGCCGCATCATCCAGGTGGATGCTGCACACTGGTGGTGGATGAGGAGATTTCCCCTCACAATGTAAAGCGCTTTGAGTGCTTAGAAAAGCGCAATATAAATGTAATGAATTATTATATATACAAAAAAAAAAAATATATATATATATATATATACAGTGGGTACGGAAAGTATTCAGACCCCCTTCAATTTTTCACTCT